ATGGATGGATGAATAAATGGAAAGAGAATAGATGGATGGAAACAGGATGGATACAGGATAGATGTGCGGATACAAGGATGGATGTATTTATTGCTACGGATGAACCGATGCACCAATTCTGTTCAAAGTTGTGAGTCGTGGGCGTCGGAGGTAGACCTGTAGAAAAGCACATTTACTTTTAATCCAACCTTAATTTAGGATTCTGTTGATCTTCAAAGATCTCTAGATGGCCACTTGGCTAAAATTGATGCAGGTGCATTGATGGCTTGGAATGTGGCTGCTCGCGATTGACTGATGTCTAAACGTCACCGCAAATGTCACTCCCCGTGGTGGATGCCTTGACTATTAAAAAACTAACCTCATGACTGTCAACACACTCCACCCCCTCCACTCCATTTCCCTCTACTCACTCATTCGCTTAACTAGTCACACAGAAATGGTCATGTTTTGCAGCTGTTCCTCATTAGCATTGTTTCGCTTTTTTATCGTTTCCTTAAAGTAATCATAAAGACCGCTTTTTTGTCCGTGCAAACACAAAAGGTAACTGAGCCCTCAATCACCTATGTAATCGATTTTTCCATCGATCCTCTTGCACCCTACCACTCGTTGTGTGGCTTGATTATCGATCGGGGTGGTGGGAGTAGCACAGGTGTCTACCTGACGAACGGAAGGGGGGGGGGGGAGAAAGCAGGGGATGGGAGAGAAAGGAAGGGGTACTCACAAACAAGCACCCCTTACCTGGATCTAACCCAAGCCATTGTAAACGCCACGAAATTCTGCACCATGGAATGGAAATAGGTGTACCGACTTGGAATCAGGCCGGTTTGTCATCCAGGTCTTTGCCAGGGGGTTTTGTTTTTCTCTAGATGCCTCCACTGGTACCTCCATCACTCAAAAGTGGCTCATACAATAGTTTATTAGCCACGCAGTTTATTAAGCTACCTCCGGGCTCTGCAGCGCGATGACGTCTCATTTTTCAAGTCCATGGGATACGCATCCGACTCTCCTGTTGATGTTGACGTCTGCAGCACGGTGAGCTAGCTTAAATTTGGCTACGAAGAAGAATTGCCTGTAGAATAAACTAAACACTTGGTGATGCAATTAGCAGAGGAGTCTCCAAGGCTCTACAGATGGCCACCAGCACCCGCCCTGGAGTTGAGAGTTCTCTCACCAGTGCGACTGCGAAGAAGGTGGATGGGAAGACCACCTAGGATTCTGACGAGTTCTCGCGCTTTAGACTTTATGGGCTTTATTTTTTTGCCTTAATCAATCAAATTGGTAATTAAGCATCTTTTCCTCATAAAATTCTTACCACAATCGCCCATAAGGTGAGCAAATAACCTCGCAATTTTCTTTCTGACAATAGTACACTGACAGCTCTAAAATCTGTGCTTTTTGCTCCTTGCCTCAGAGGCAGGTGTCGTGCTCTGTGTACCCCCCAAAAAACCCGCCTCGACATGCTTAAAAGTCGACACATACAGAAGTAGTCTTTCTCAGAGCACTGAGCTATGACCCAAACTTCTGGTCACTCTCTCTCTCTCGCCTTTCTGCTTTCTTTTTCTTTAGGTCTGCACTTTCAAGGCGATGCTGCACTTGTTGGTGAAGTACTCACCAGCCACTCCTTGTTGAGTGAGCCAGTGAGAATTTTCGGTGTGGTTTTATTTGATACTCAGCTATTACAGGCGAGAAAAGACAATGAAAAGGAATAAAATTACTCTTCTATCTTTTGCAAAACGTGTGAAAATTATGAGGGTTAAAATAGCCCCCCTCAAACCTGATTGGTCGGTTTCAAGGTTGGGTGGCCTGTATCGAGAGTACAAGAGCGGGTTGACTCCACTAATTCACCGTTGTTTTCTCATTGTGTGTGCGTCAGGTTTTTTTTGAGTGGAATTAAATAATTCACCTGTCGGTGAATTAATTGGTTAGAATGTGGCGAAAAAGAAGGCCGTACAATAGCCGTGCGTGGAAAGGCCGAAGGTTGAGTGACTTTTCAACATCGTGGGAAAGAGGCACCGCAGGGTTACACACTCACCACTGAAGAGTAGACAAGTATGAACCAGCAGTGAAGTATGAGGTCACAATTGTGGGGGTGGAGTTGAGCTACTCATCTGTAGATTACTACGCTTGGTACTGTCGTCACGCATATGTGACGTACTCATTTCCTTGTTGGAAGCTTTCACAGGGCTTGTGAATTTCATTACCTCTATTCGACTCATCATGCGGCAGTACCTTAGCATGAACAAATTATGTGACAAAGTGAACTCATGACTTGTCCTGCAAAAACACGACTTTTGCTCTAGTGAATGACTGAGCAACCAATTTTCATTGGAGAATTGGTTTTGTTTTTTCTCTTTGCTCAACTTGGAGGTAACTCGTTTTTGAGTAGAGAAATCTCAATTTAATATTGGTTGGCATTCATCAAGAGATCATTTGAGTCCACTGTGCATCACACATAGATACACACACTCACGGTGTGTTAGCTCGCCGGTGGAGGGTCTAAATTCGAAAAACCCCTCCTCACCACAAATCTGTCAGTCAGTGTAAGGTGTTTTTTCTACTCCAAAAGAAGAGAAAAAGATGCTGGAAGTTGCTGGAGCTTACTGCCATCTGGTAGTCAAAGCGTCAATGTCAACTCATTGGTTCTTTTTATTGGCTTGATTTGATTAACAGTACTTTCTACTACTGCATATCGCGCCAACTTCAAACGTTAGATGGAGAAAATTTGCCTAGATGAGGCTACAAAACTGGAGACAAGACTTCACGACACCCTTCCCAAAGGCCACATAGACAGAGGACTTAAAGACTCAAGTTTTTGCTTATGCTCATTGTTTCTCGAAAATAATATGCCTACCAATGTGATCGTATGAATTATTCTGTTCTTTTGGGGGAGAACTCAGACCCCCACAAGTTATAATTCCTTCGCCTGTTTCCCAGACACCGCTTACAATAACATCGGTAGCAGGGTAGTGTTAGTTCTACTGGGGAGGGGTGAAGGGTGGGGTCTTACTGTGGCCATTCGATTCTAGGCCCAACAAAACAAGCCCGGACAAAGTAAACAATGTCAAACTTACTGAGGTAGCCTTTTTACTCCAAATTTGGAGGTCATGAAGGATATCCCAATGTAGAAAAGTTCTACCATTTCGTCGTGAAGCTTTCTTAGCTTTTGAAGCCTCTATCCGAGTACAATCAAGGCAACTCGGCATGCAAATTTCTTTGAATGGAAATTTTCTGCCCTTTAAAGTCAAAATTCAGAATTTTCCAAATGTCACCCTTAACTTGGAAGTACTTTTCCCCTCTTAATACCGTGAGGTGTGAGTAGTTACTCATGTTAGGTGCAAATTAGAACTATTTGGATGATGGAAAAGGGAGAAAAAACGATTAAATCTCACCGTGTTGGCAATCAAAATGTACGTATTTTCAAATCAATCAACCCGAACGGTGAATGTGAGAAAATTTCAGGCTTTTTTGTAAATAACTCCATAAAGTTTGAGTGATTATTGGCACCATCAGCAAGTGTAAAATAAAATACAATTAAAAATAAGGGGAAGCTCCAGGAGGTAATGGTGAGGCCGCCTTACAAGCGTGGAGATTGAGAAGGCATTTGCTATTTTATTTGATCAAGTTCCAAAAATTTGTTGGGATGTTAGCAACAACTTGAATGTTTGCTTTACTCCTCATTTTAGGTACGCGGGAGCTTAGGTCTCGGCCACTGTACCTCCGCCGGGCTACATTGACGCCGGACAATGCCAGTAGCTCCTCTGCTTTGCGTATGTCGGCAATACATTTCCTCTCCCAGTGTTACGACTTCTTTCTACCTCAGGAAAGACCTGGGGCGCTCCATGTAGTATGGTGCTGCATAAGCATACCAAAATGCTCAGGAACAACTGGATGAACTCGCGCACAAAACAAGTAATGGGCATTTCAGTTCGAGGATTGATTTCCGGCAAAGAGAGCATGGGAAGAATAATTTCAAAAGGGTGAAATAAAGCATCCTAGATCAAGTTTTGATTTGCACCAGAATTTTCCCACAATCTAGGTGCACTCATTACAGCCACCTCTTTATTCAAAATTTTTGGCGAATAATGGTGAAAAATACGCAGGGCAGGGTATATATCGTTCACCCCGAAATCGTACATGGATGTGTACTCGAGCCAGGCTGGGGTTTTTCCAAAGTATTTCCACCGCAAGTCAAAGCCAAGAGAAGTCTTGTAAACGTGAGCGAATCAAAAAGTATGCAGAATTTGCTGACTGGAAGTCATCCGAATGAATACTATGGAGTGATCAAAATGGAGTTTCGGGTAGTCATAGCAAATTACAGGTAGATTTTAAATGTTTCATCGGGGCTAAATAAATGAGCAGAGCATTGTTACTTGTGAAATTGGTGCTGCACTTAAAACATTTAAGATGCAAGTAAGTAAAATGCTGAAAGTCAGGTAATAATATGCTTATTCCATTCGATTCTAATGTCTGTCTTATTAAATATCTTTCCAGTATGGCTAAACCACAGATCCTTCCTGTGCAAGTACAACCGCCGTGTTTTGTTTTATTCAATCAAAGTAATTTACAGACTGAATGGTTCTAGAACTATCTACTATACCGGCTATACATCGTACTCTATCCAATCAGCTTTGGGAATTGCTATTTACATGCTCTAGATCGACGCTGTTGCCACATTGCCAACCAATAGTACTTAAGCCTTCGCCCGCGCGGTTCAGTTCAGTTCTCTCCGGTGACTGCACGCGAGTAATGCCTTCTGCAACTGAGTTGAAGGATAGGGGCAATACTTTCCTTCAACAGGGCAAGTATGACAATGCCATTGATTGCTACACCTCTGCCATTGAGTTGGACCCCAAGAACCACGTTTTGTACAGTAATAGGTCTGCTGCGTACGCTAAGGTTGGACAGTACGAAGATGCTCTTAAAGATGCTGAAGAGTGCGTTAAGCTAAACGCCTCCTGGGCAAAGGGGTATTCACGTAAAGGCGCTGCTCTTGAGTTTTTGAAAAGATTTGACGAGGCCGAGAAAGCGTACATGAAAGCCGCTAAGTTGGATCCATCCAACGTGTCCATTCTCGAAAGTCTAACTAGTGTTCGCGCTCGCGTAGCTTTGAAAGACCTAAAGAGTCGTGTTCAAGCCCATCCAACACTGAAAGATCTCCTCAATGATTCTGTGTACGTACGTAATCTGGAGCTTCTTGAGAAGAATCCCGAGATGTTAGGTTTATTGATGAAAGACCCGAAAATCATGAAGACTATCACTACCCTTTTTCATGTTGATGAACCAATGGAAACCGATCCATCAGACTCTCCCAGCCCTTCACCCCCACCACCTCAAAAAGACCCGGAACCCAAACCGCAATTGAACGAGGAGGAGAGTTCGGCATTGAAGGAGAAAGAACTAGGCAACGCAGCGTACAAGAGCAGGAATTTCCCATCTGCTATCGAGCACTATGAAAAGGCGTTTCAGTTGAATCCGAAAGATATCACCTTCTTAACGAACAAATCCGCCGTTTACTTTGAAATGGGTGACTTCGCAGAGTGTATTAAGACCTGTGAGAAGGCAGTCGACTTAGGACGCGATTTGCACGCCGATTATAAGCTGATCGCCAAGGCGTTGTCAAGAATTGGTCACTGTTATGAAAAGCAGGAGGATTGGGCTAATGCCAAGAAGTACTACGATAAGGCTCTCTCAGAGTTCCGCGCCCCTGATATTATCAAAAAGAGTCAGGCGTTGGACAAGAAGTTGAAGGAAATGGAGAAACAGGCTTATATCGATCCAGACCTTGCCGAACACGAAAAGCAGTTGGGTAATACGGCCTTCTCAAATGGCGATTTTCCAGCAGCCATGAAGCACTACTGCGAGGCAATAAAGCGGAATCCGAATGATCCGAAACTCTATAGTAATCGCGCTGCATGCTACTCGAAGTTGATGGAGTTTTCGTGTGCGTTAAAGGATTGTGAGACGTGCATCACGCTGGACCCGAAGTTTATCAAGGGGTATCTACGTAAGGCTGCCTGCCTGATGGCAATGAAGGATGTTACGCAGGCAAGAAGCGCCTATAGGTGAGTCCTATTGCGCAATTTTCTTCGTCATTTGACTAAACTTAAGTTTGGTTTCCAAAGTCCATAATTCCCAGAGTAGCCGAATGTGTTTGGGAGAACTTCTAGGGTTTGCGGTACTCTTAGTACTTCAAGAATTTCCGAGTGTCGCGATGATGCGGAATGTTTTGCTATTTCGTTTATGAAGCATTTAGCTAGTATCTGCAGGGAAAAACCCCCAATATTGCTTGATGTTCTCCAATCTGCCTTGGGAATTATCGCTTTAAAAGCTGTTAATGTATTTTTAATGATTCCATGGCAGGTTTCCAAACCGTTAGTGGCGCCCATCATCCCATTAGTGTTTGTCACCCAGGTTTCTAGCCCCTTGATTATCGACTTGGGGGATGTCGAAGCGCTTTGAATTACCCTATTATCCGTCTCAAAAGCGGAAGGTGAACCCTGGCAAAGGCTACTTGATTATATCCCCAGTCCGACATCGACAGCAGTTACAGCGGGGGTGTGAGTTTGCTTTTGCAGTCCTGATTCAAGTGCAACGTTCCTTTTGCCGGTCCTTGGGGCACTAAGATTCAGTGTCAATAAATGTGATAATGGTTCGGGCTTATTCCTTTTACGTGGAATCATCTAGGTTTGTGCGGAGTTTAAGTTGTCTCGTTTTTTAGAGCATAGATTGATTGGTAAGATTGATCCCCGTACTTAATAAACGATTGTTCGTCATAAGTTTCTTTTTAGATCTAATGGTTGCCTCTTGGTGTTAGATTCTTTTCGAGCGATCAACGGTACCTACTATTCCACTTCATCTGTTGTTCCACTTAAACGTATCCTCTCCGTATCATCGCATTAACGAGTCAATTTATGAGGCGTTTGGCGTTTAATGCTTTTGGAATGCACTACTCCCAAATCTACTGCCCCGAGTGATGATATGGAAGTGTAGGTTTACCCTTATTATTCCGTTTTTAGAATTGCTTGAGGAAAGTTACAGGGTTTTAACCGATTCTGAATCCGCTCTACACTTTTGGTAAGCAAATTAGAGGTGTGATAGGGCTTTTTCATGGTTGGGTTGTATTTAATTGCTTCAGAGTGCGCTACATTATCTTCATTTTTCTCAAAATGTCACGACCTGCATAAGACTTGTCCGAATATTTGATTTTGCTTTCCTACTTACGTTTTTGTAGGTTCAGTGAGATGCGATCTAGGAGGCAGTATTTCAAACTTAGCTGTGTATTCTAGTTTTCGTAGGTCTATCTTTAATCGCCATGAGACACATCGCTGGTGCGATCAAGAGTGCCCCTATTTAGGCGTGTGATTGACGGCTCTTAATGTGGATTATTTGAATAAGAGGTCGGTGTAGTATGAGTGCGTCTTTATGTGCTTCCGTAGCTTGCATTTTGATCTTGACATGGCTTCCCATGCAGTCGTTCGTCGAGTCTGGCTTCTTTCAAGAAGGTAGGTTTTATTTGAACTACGTCGGTACCCAGTGTGATTCTAGGACAAACTCCGATGAGGCCTTCAGTGTTGCTCTCGATTTACTAGCCTGGAGGGTGTTAATGCGTATTATATTAGTGCTAGAACCATCTGGATAGTTTCAGGACCCCAACGAGTTGGTGAGGCTAGGGCTCTTCACCTGTATCCACTTTGCGAATGCCATATTCAAAGTCTAATTGTCTAGGTATCTTTCAGAGCCCTAGTGATTTCGAAGTTTGTGATGAATTTTAATCCAGTTTGTAATTTGTTGCCTCAAAACCATCTGGAAGGTCTCTCGTCTTAGACAAGGATTCCCGTCTAGAGATATAGATCTCTAAAGTGCTAGTTCTCTGAATTAGCCCGTTCCACAACAGCAGGATGCAGTGATACACTTTTGTTGGCTTCATCCAAGACCTGGCTCTATAGAAATATAAAGTGTCTCCTTCCATCCATGCAGAAATCCTCCAGAACCGCCTTTTAAGGAGACAAGCTCTAACTCGTGTCTCCAAAGCCTCTACAAGTACTTTCATCAAAACCTATAGAGGGTTAGTATCGACTCATTATCCACGTATTCTATGCGTTTTGAAGACGGTAGTATCGATGACACCATCTGGCTTTAGCCGATGCCTGCAGAGCTCTGTTTCACAACAACCGACTGCACGTTATTCTTCCAAGTGCTTTTCAGGTAGATTTTGCTCTCTTTCACAGTCACGGGATCTGACAGAGTAGTCTTCACTGAACTTTGATCTTAGCGAAATAATGAAACAACTCTCTCCATTACATTTCATAGAAAGGCCCTGGAACTGGACCCCAACTGCGAGGAGGCTCGGAGCGGTCTGCTGCGTTGCATGAGCGCTGAACCCGACGAGGAGTCGGCACGTCAACGTGCGGCAAATGATCCGGAGATCCAAGCCATCCTCAGCGATCCCGCGATGCGTCTAATCCTTAATCAAATGAGCGAGGACCCGAGCGCATTGCGGGAGCATCTGCAAAATCCCGAGATTGCAGAGAAGCTTGCCAAGCTGGTGGATGCGGGTATCATTGCACTGCGCTAGAAGGACTCGTCATGAAAGCATCCCGTTTCTACTCCTCATTTTTGCTCCCATGTGTTGTTTTGTGTGTGTGCGTGTTAGAAAAGAGGGATTTAATAAATTTTTGCAACCACGGACGGTACTCCCTGTGTACATTCTGCCCTTCCAGAGGACAAGTGAGTTGGTCTGATTATTCCAACAGGATGAGTGAGTGGAGGCGGTCTGCGGAGGCGATGTGACTGCCGCTGGGGAGAGGCCCAGGTGATCGAGCATGTTTAAATGGTGTTGACTCATGTGGTGACCTGGTGTATGTCAGCTGCTGGTTGGACGTCACCGGGGTCGCTACTCACGCACGTGACTGCCATGAATTTCAACTCGCCTCGAGCACTGGTTTCGGCCCGTGCCGCCTGCCCGTCCGTTTTCTCCTTGATATTCACTCGATCACCACGCAAGTTGATCGTTTCTTCATCCAACCATTCCTCGATTCATCCGCACCCCAACTGCCCCCTCCCCCTTAATTGATTCGACAATCCGTTCACTCCACTAGCACCCCATCCACTCGTCCTGCTACCCATTCAGCAGCCAATTTGTCCGTTTATTTATTCAGCTACTTTTCCTGCAGGCACTGCTCATTCATTCAATAGTTCTTCCGGTTGCAGTCCGAGCATCCATGCTATTTGGTTGACGCTAGCAGGGTAGCTTCGTGAACCCGAGGAATTTCCTCACTCGATGTTTTGGAAACACTAGATCCTTCCAGTTGACCTACGCCTAGGTTTAGTTCATAACTCCTCTCCACCCATTAATTCGTCCGACCACCTCTCTGTCTAGGTACACATCCTTTCGACCTTCCATCTTAACCATCAACATTTCCACCTACTGACCTGGTAGGCAAACGACCTTCCAGTTAGTCGTGGAGCTGGTCCATCTAGGTATTCAAGCAACCACCTTTCCTTTTGCCTAGACATTCTTCTATCATTCGACTCCTTCCTCCATTTATTTCATCACTCATTCATCCGACCGTTCTAGCTTACGAACATTGGACACGTCCATGACCTTCTATTTTGCAGGAGGAGAGGATCTTCGGTATATTCTAGGATTCAGGAAGATGGGCAGAGCTACTGATAAAATCTCGAGTTGTCGAATGGACGTAGGCATCCATTTAGGTGTTGATGTAACCATTCACCCGTCTACTCATCGTAGCGTTTATCTAATCGTCCAATCACCTAGGCAGCAAGCTTAGGAAAGAAGTTTATTTTGATACTCTAGAAGTTTTGCTTCGTGTTTCCAATTCTCTGACATTCTAGAAGGTTCTAAAGGTCGCGCCCTTGACAACGCCCTCCTGATTGGTCGACATCAAATAGCCAATCAAAGTGATGTAAATACATGGGATTGTGATCAGGTCGGAACTCCAGCCAAGGTGGGTGACGGCACATGGCAGTCCTAATGTGCCCTACTTATCGTCACTGAAAGCGTCTGCTCTAAAGCCCTCGTCTCCTTGATTCTCCTGGCCGAGTTGACGAGGTCCGTGACTCTACGTGCGGAGAGCATCTAGGCGCCCGTTTATTCAGCCATCTCCACAGTTCAAGGAGCCTTTCACCTAGGCCACTATTGGTTCACTCAGACCTCCAGGAATTAGGCCCTTTATCTGCCGTGTGTTGAAGTACCGGATGCGTCTGGGTAGTTTGGTGGACTTGTGAAGCCAGGTCTTCAATCCATTAAAGCTTCTTCTCGATGCTTTTGTTTTCCCTGGATGTTAATCAAACATCTAGGATGTTTTGTTGTAAAGCTCGGATTTCCACTTCTCGCGCCAAATTTTCGAACATTCCTAGAGTAGTGCCTCAGCTTGTCGCCCTCCCAACTGACTCTGCCATCCACTCAAAGCCAAGGCCATTCAAGAGGGGCAACGAGAGCACCGACACGCTCAAACCATCACTCCATGGTTGGAAACGCGTGGGGTTCGTGCCCGCGCCTACCCCTACACAGTATTGCAAAAAAGTACCTCAAAAATGCTCCTGCTCCAATTTTCTAGAAGGCCCACTTTGCCATGCCGCCTTCTTGACCATTCCAGAGCGTTTCGAAACTCGCGCTCTCGCTCGTCCCCTTTGATTGGTCAACACGCTGGAGAGCTTTCATGAGCACCCTCTGTGGGATGAAACGCGGTATTTTTCATCGCCCACTTTCCAGGTGGAATTTAAGAGACCATATTTGTAACTCACTCCTCTGAGGGGGTATTTTAGACGGTTCTCTATCAGACACCGCCGACAATCGGAATCGGTGGTAGCTTATGCTGTGTTGTGAAGGCGAGATTTTAACCGTCAGTCGTCCGTTCTCCATTCCCTCCAGCCTTAATCAATAATCCGGGAGTTCAAGATGCCTTCAAAAAACACTAGAATCTGCTGATTACTCAGCATTATGGATGGTTTAGGTCCAAAGGCTCCGTCGTCGACTCCCCTATAAGTACCAGACAATTCCCGGAAATCAGAACCAGAAGGCAAAGCATAGAATTCAAAAATATAAAATTACTGAAACCTTAGTCCTACTCAAGGGAAATAGATGGTTGTACATACTTCTATTAAAAAATAGCTGGCCGGAGGGTCGCGCGTCTGGTGGGGCGGATCTAGCTTTTCCTTCCATGAAAGGCACGCGGAGGAGGCAAATTAGGCCTTCAGTCTACCTGAGATTCTTCAACCGGTGGTTCCGAAGACACTCCGAAGAACAGAAGACAAAAGTGAGATACGAGAAGGGCTGCTTTCCAGTCATGTCCATAGAACACTGGTCGCAGGTACTGCAAGAAAAGGGGCGAGGGTGGGAATATAACCCCGTAAAGTTACCAACACAAATAATTGAGAAACATTTCTTTAGTAACCGATACACTTGCGGTTTCCCTCTCTGCTGTGCCAGTAAAGCGCGTTTTTCTGCAGCCGAGGCGCACTGTACAAATAACGAAAGTTTAAAGGATTAAAAATTGATGATATGCCGCTGATTTGGGATGAAGGGGGGGGGGGTTAGGGAAGGCTTACCTTTTCACGCATGGATATATGATCCAGCTTTCGAGCAGCATCACCCCCGGTCGCCGAGGCAATCTGATTATTCTTCCTTTGCTGACGAGGTGCATTTGCGGAGGTGCTTTCAGCCACGTTTAATGGGATCTAAAAATGGAAACAAGCAAACTTAATGCTACTTATTGTAATTAAGTAGACGAGACGATGTGGAATGTTTCTCCTCTCACGCCTGCTTTCTCGTAGTCATAGCGATCCGGATGATCTTGGCGGAAGGATTTGAAACATGTCAGCAACTTCTTTTTACCAATTTGCTTGGCCAGAAAGTAGGGTGTCATTCCGTTGTTATCTCTAATAAAAATAGCCAATAAAAATCAAGGAGAAGTAATTGCGGAAGTAGGGACTACACACAAACCAGTCGTCTACATGTCTCAACATCCGACTAACCCACTTGCCTCTCAAATGTGGAAGTCTGATCATTAGTCAGGTTATCTGCACATCTATGCATTGACCTGGACGCAAATCCATGGAAATAACCGTCCAACACTTCAGTTAGGGATCCATCCAACCATCCATCCTGACATGAAGTCCACATTTCTATCCAGTCATCAAGTCACCCAACTATCCATCCATCAAGACGTCTACTCATTACCTCATCACGTCACTGATCCATTCACTTATTTATCTAGATGTCTACATATTCATGAGTGAGAGAAACACTGACATCTCAGCCAAGAAAGACTTCACTAACCTTCCTTCGGGTCTACAACCAGCCATCAGTAGGATCCGAACAACCTCCGGATCACCCTGCAATTCGACAGCCAAGTGGAGAAGGCTTCGTCCATCGGGGAAGCGGTAATTCAGCAGATGCTGCACTGTCGCCTCATCCTCGGGCCAGGGTTCCATCCCCGAGGAGGACACCTCGGCCTCTGTGGAAGGGAACATCGCCAGTGGTTGCAACGACCGTCAGAATCTGGGAAATTTCCACCTCAACCAACACATCTTCAAGTGATGAAATGATCATTCGTAGAAGTCCGTACATTCAAAAAGCCATCAGGAGTAAAAATCCAACAAGTGCAAGCATCTTAAACGGTTTTTTCTTTCCAGAGGCATCGATAAACAACGATATGACTAGGAATGGCATGAAAGGAATGATAGTATATCATGAATATTCCATGCACTAGCAAAAAGTGCTTGAATATTTGGGGTCTCCGTCTGGAACGACCAAAACCAACAGAGGCGCATCCCCTTCATGACAAACGGAAGGACAATCAACACCGCCTAGAAGTCCTCAGGACGACTTCAGGGACAATTCAAACGCCTCCTTCTTTACCGACGCGTCCACATCAAATAACATCACCTGGAATACTTCCCTAGATGCAAGCATATCGACAAGAGATAAAAAACACTTCAAGACATTCGCACTTCCTTAAAATGAATTATTCCCAGACATCCGCACTTTCTTCAGTCTTTGCTAGTATATACAAATTAAAGGCCCAACTCACTGGAAGGCGAACTCCCTCTCACAGACCCACTCGCCGGCGGCGACAATAACAACTCCGTCAGTCGTTCCACATCGCCCACTGCCGTGGCCAACTGTAAGGAGCGATGCCAGTCACTGTAGGTGTTGCAAAGTGCCGCAACTGCCTCATAACCAAAAGATAGATTAGCTCTTCTATTAGGACAGGAAAAAAGGCGCCCAAACCTAGACAAAACTCACGATCTGAAGTTGATAAGGATTGTCGAACCGGGGCAGATTTAGTCGCCAACCACTCATCAGCTCGCTTGACAGCATCTTCAGCGCCGCTGGAAGACAGCGATTTGTTAGGCGAAGGTGAAGAGGAGGGGGAAAGAGGAGAGACTCTATCCTGTTCCTTTTGGCGATTGTCCTTCCTCCGCTTCCTTCGTGCTCTTTGTTTTGAGGGCGGAACAGCTGCTGCCTTAGTAGTGGGCTCAAGAGAGGAAGGAGAGGTGACAGTGGGGGAGGAAAGGGGCGGTGGTGGTGAGTCTTGACTTGATGATTTAATTGGTAGATCAGCGAGACATCCACGAAATAGACGACCGCTGCGAGATTCAAAAATGGTCTCTTCGCCTTGTTCAATTTGACGCCTCTCGGAGAGACTTATGAGATCGAGATCGGCGTAGTGCTCTGTGGAATAAGAACGGATTATTGGCTATGGAATTTCTGTTTACTGCCTACCTACCCATAAACGCACTACTTATTAAGGCAGTTGGAGAAAATAAGTAGACCCAGTAATTAACAATGGTGAATCTATTGACCATAAAGTTATTAAGTATGAACTGAAGTGGAACACTCACCAAACACTCGAAAACGCGAAAGGTCCGACTGTAGCTCCTTTACATGTGTATAAGTAATATTCTTCGCCCTACAGGGCAGGCGTCGTAATCTTGGATCACCCACAACCACTCCCATTCGAGATGCCACTGCCTCTGCAGCAAGTGGATCCGCTGCCAGATCTACGTGCCCACTGCCATCGCCTTCTGCCTTCTCCCTTTCCTTCGCATCGTTAGTCTCCTCAATTTCCTGCAGTTCAGTAGTGGATGGTGTAGAGGAGGAGGGCGGAGTGTAGAAGATGGCGCGATGCACCTTGGGTGTCCAGGTGAGGATAAACTGGCACGCTTGGAGGTAGGACCGCCATTTTACGTGAAGGAGGTGAGAAATATCCTGTAAGCGATCGGAAAAAAGGAGGTAGAATGACGTCCCACTAACTAGAAACTGTGAGAGAAAAGGTCTAAGAACAAAAAGTCCAGTGAAATGGTTAAGTGGTGTTACACTAACCGGATCATCCAGATCGTCAGCATGTAGCACCACAATTATTCAGGACTGACAGACAAGCACAGGTTGCACATGTTCTAGCGGATAGCAATATACAATGAAGGCCATCAATCTGCTCTTCACCGCTGACTGATCAACTGACTGGCGTGTGACAAGAAGCGGTCTCTCTACTCCACCGTTCTTCAAGCGACCAAACACACCAAATGTTGCCCTTAAACGACCCATTTCATCGCACAACCTACACACTTCCAGGCCACACATCATTTTCTCTCTAGAAGACTATGGTCACTTGCTGAAAATCAAACAATCACGGCTGATACCCATATGGTTAATTTATTTCGTTGGCGGGCAAGAAATTCTCATTCATCTCCTTAACCAAACTCGCTGTCAATCGCTTATCCGTCTATTCATCTATCCATCCACATTTGAACCCATCCATCCGTTGAACTAACCATCCAACCAAACCACTAATATAGCCATTAGTATGTCAAACCATTTAACAAGATACACATCCCTCTATCCATCTACAGACTTGCAAGTTAGAGAACTCTTACGTATGAACTTCAGTCTTTGAATCTATTAGTAACTTGTAGTCCTTCTACAAGGACATTTGCGGTGGCTACCAATGATACATCAATTGGTTCTCGATCAGTTAAAAAGTCGAGAACCTTTGCACGGCGTACTGAAGCTTCTACAATCAATTTCAAACCACATGTTTAAAGCATGAGGACTCCAAAACCATCCACTTGTCACAGCTTTATTAAGACCTTCAATAATTAAGGGCGCAAATACCCGACATCAAAACAGCTTCAAATCATTCCAGACCGTTGAGGCATTAGGAATCTACAACCAGATGAAAACTTTGAAGCACTTTTCAAGCCATCCGACTGAGGGTATTGTGATGCACGGCAGTGGTGAAAAATTCTCCTTAAGGCTTATTCATTGGATTGCATTTTGACAAGCCAAGACTTCGAAAGCCCTTAAAAATTCCCCAAAACTCTTGAAACTAATTAAAGGGACACATCACATCAAGCGATTTGTACGCCAAAAAAGAACTTCAATTACTCACTGCCCTAATAGCCATCTCGCCATGACGACGGAGATTAGAGCCAGCTGATTTGTGTCCACTTAGTCCACCCATAGTGGCGTCGCGTAGTGATTGCCCGCCGCCCTGTTTCGCACGAACGGTGTAGCGATGAAGGGTCTTGTGGACAACCTCCTTGTCTCTGTAAATAAAGAGTAAAAGGGTAGAAATTATAGGTGTTCCATCATCTAGGAATAAGGTTTGATAACTTTTAAGTTGACGACTAGGTCCATGATTGGTTCAATAGGTAAATGGACCTAGGGTAGAGGGAAGAGTGGAGAGGTGAAGAGTTGAATAGAGCAGTAAATCCAGGATTGATTGCTAGGTAGCTGAAAGGTAAGCGAACTACTGCTGAGTATGTTAATAGCCAACCAGACAAAACGGATATGAATAAATATGGAGTAGCCGGTTTGACGAATGGATGGATAGATAAAAAGATAAGGGGACGGACAAATCCTATAAACGAAGATAAGCCGATTGGTAGATGAACTGACGAAAAAATAAGATGAGCAGATAGACGAACAAACTAACGTTGGAAAAGACTGGCATACACTCGAATCAAATTAATGGACTAATATTTGGTAGACACACTCGCAATAAGTAGACAAATGGGTCAATTTTGAGAGCGGGAGGAGGGGGGAGGCATAATACTTGCTGAAATGAGAAACGAAGGGAGAGGAATTGAAAGCCATTGGAGCCTCATCAATGGATGTGCAGGTTGGGGATCGGGTAATAAATGAATGAGTACTTTGAAGAACAAGAGGGCGGATGAGCAAATAAATGAGTTTGTTAAGAAACAGGTGATCTGAGAAATGAAAAGCACTCAAATGATGGTATAATGGAGTCATGAACGCATAAATTAATCAGATTTCGAGTAATTTGATCAAAAGCGCAATACTTTACTTAACTTATCGCCAAAGGTAATATATTATGACCATTAACCTCAAGTTTCACGTTGGGACCTCTTTTAAATCGACTGCGCATTTGGAAGCAATGACGATGACAAGCAATAGCCATCCATAAGTCAGTTTCATAACACCGTAAAAGACCTTTGCTACCCCAACAAGACCGGATGGTGTCAGAATTGAAAATAAGTCGACACAAATCCAACAAATTTATCCCAGAAACGTAATTCCTTAAACGCCTGTAAAATTGTATCAATGCAAAGGTAGATGTTAAAATGTGAACATTTAATTGAAAAACTTCTCTAAGACTATTTCTGTGAATGAAAAAAAAAATGATTCTAGCTTTTAGATGACAACTTATCCATAGCAGAAATACGAAGCCATCCACAACGAAAACAAATATTACACCGCTACATCGGAATAAATAAGACCACCTTCGCAAAGACTAGCCGCAAAGAAAAATTTCTGGCGGAAACATCACACTCGATGTGAGGAAACAACTGATAGATCCAAAAATATGGTAAGCAACAAGATCATCTACCAAGTATCAACTAAAATGACAAAAAAGAAATAAGAAACATCTCCACACACTCATCAAAAATTCCGCCAGCGAACTTGCCACCAGAATAGAGCAGAATCGCCCAAAATCGACTCTTTCTGAGCAGATTCACTCGATCCAGCAGATCTTCAAACGTCCTTGGAGGTGCCTAAAATCAGCTTGCCTAAATGACCACCATCTCACCTCTTTCGTGTAAAGTAGACATCGATAGATGCCAACAATCTCATCCTTTCTATTCCTAAAGAACATCATCGGTTTTCCAGGAAAATTTGGACGTTGAATAGGGGTAGATCCGAGAACGGAATATTGTGTTCCCTCATTTTCCTCATTTTCGTTTTCCAATGAAGTAGAAGTAGAAGAACCATCGCTCTCACTTTCACTCCAGGTTGGAAGCCAATTCTCATTTGCGGTGCATCGGGGTATTCCCTTACTAATAGTAGCGATATGAAGCTTTGATTTGAAATGCGCTTTCTAAGGAGTTATAAGGCACCAAACACACATTCTACCATTTCTGCAGCATCAATGCACGAAACACGGCAGGTAATACAGTCGAATTTTCGCATTGAAGCAGTGTAAGGTGCCGTCGGACTTTCCACAACAGAATTAGCAAGAACCGGAGCATTTGGGAGTGATTCAATCAGAAGGACAAGACCTGTAAGTGCGTCTACGGAGCACTTCCGGTTAAAGTAAGAGATTCGATCACAAGTACGACAATTAAGGCGGTCCATAAGACCTTCCATTATGCAGGAAGTCAGTTGAGGTCGTGATCGGTGTGCGCTAGTCGCAGCTTCGAAAAGTTGCGTGGGCCATCAGTAAACTCAAACAAACTTACGTTAAAAATTCAATAAAAACACATTAATCTCTTAAAATTGTATTTTAGCCAAGTTTTACAGATAATTTATGCAAATAGCCTTCAAGGCGTAATCTCTTTTTCCTCACTTAAGATTCTGCGCTAAATTTTCAAGAAAATTAATACGACTTTGTGAATTTTACTAGCTCTCATTTCAACTTTTAGCTGTTTGGTGGTTAAGGTAAATTATTTACCACTAAGGCCGTTCATCACAGCCATGTTTATAATTTTACTCGTGTATACAACATCTACTTCTGTGAAAAAGCATATATCGTTTTGTTTTCAGAATATCAAGATTCTGTAATAAATAACACTTTTTCCTCAACGCAGGCGACTTGATGCACTCCCCAACATTTACTCCTTAATCCTTATCCCATGCCACTTTATGTCACAATGTCATACAACCCATATCCCCGAAATCCATGTGTTCGTCTGATTTAAATTGCGAAAGCACAAATGCTATAAAGACGATATTTTTTTTCATTTCTTAATTGGATTTATCTAATGAAATTTACACCTTCATCGCTGTTCCGAAATGATGCCTACTTTTCCACTAAGGAATACTAATCAATTATTTAATTGCCTTTTATTCTTTAATGATTTCCCAGTTCATCGTAACAGTGCCAGTGCTCCAAAATTCATCCACCATATATAATATCATGTCATCTTTCAACTCAACTATTTGGTATTATTTTCAATATTCAAATATGTCTAATTCTCACTCCTCTTTATGGCAGTCAACCTCTATTGTTTGCCTTGGTTTCATCACATTCCCGCGTTTCCATTTAATTAGTACGGTTTTACCATCACACCACTGAGTAGCACTCGACATCAGTCATTTTTTGAATAACTATTAACTCGTTGTTTTGGTAAGATCTGTGCTAATGCCCTGCCAATTACCAATCCTAATCTCTATCCATTTATTTTACGGCAATTACTTTTGCGGAGTCATCCATTGTTTTACCCTTTTGTGCAAATTACCAGCATACAAAACAAATTCTCTATTGCAGCGGTTCAGTAAATACAAAAAAATTTCGTGACATTGAGCGAATCATTTCAAAACATCGCATTTTATTCCAATTCACAAGCCATTTTGCCACCGTAGTAATACCATCTGGGAAAGATACGATTGCAGGCTAAAAATTAAAGAGTTACAGCTTATAATAATTTTGCTGAATAGGTTGGAGAATTATAATTATTCATCAGAAGATATGCCAAGGCTGATGAGTTGGTTGACTGCACACCAAATTTTGGACCGGCTAATGGATATCCGCATGTAGTTCAAGCAATACCAATATTTTGAATCGGGTACATGTATTTTTATGCAGGAAAGTGGACCCTACCTTTAGGGATAGCAATTCCAGTATGATTGTAGAAGTCGCAGGGGTGTTTATCATTAGATTTGTCATGGCTGCTCGAATCAGTGCTCCGTTTCCTGCTGAAGAAATAATCAAAGGGCAAAAGCATCACACGAATTTCAAAGCCTTACCTACTACTTCCTTTTGAAGGCATAGCAATAAGGATTTCTCGTAGCAGTAAGGCTAGTTAATGCTCAATCACATCCACTAGCTGCGTATTTATAGTTAGGTGTTGGCGTTGGATCATGTGACGGTCCAATAAAATTTAAGCACATGCTAGTCGCCTCTGCTTTCTGCGTGAGTGACTGAATAAATGCACGGATGACACCATTTTCAGGACATGCGAATGCAATTAAAGACGACGTTCAAATTAATTACTATGCCTCCTTCTATTTGGCGAAAATTTCAGAATTAAAATGGTATTTTCATATACCTTTCAGTCTAAACAGTGGTGCATATAAAACCTGCATTTTTTGAAGTTATATTTACCTCCCAGATACAACAAATTGATACCCTTTGTAAGCTCATAAAAGAAAGCTGAAGTAGAGTGCCGATGTTTTGGTAAATTGGAGGTGTTCACGATATGGCCTCCGCTCTCTGACCGTATGTCCTTAGCGCACTTCCGGTTCTCGCAACAACAGCACCCAAAGCAGCGACATTTACCCACAAGACGTGACCTCAAAGACGATCGCAGATAGAAGACTTTAAACTTCCTCACGTGAATTTCGATGGACTTCATCTGAAAATACGTTCTTTGCCTTACAAAGAGCATTTCGCAAGTGCACTCACCTGAAGCAAAATTCATCCGTTTACCATCCGTGCTGTGCTCATCGTTACACTACTTTGGGTGGCAAAAGCGAGCTACAATTCAATGAAAGTCCAGTCCCATGGCCTTAGTTCTTGCACATAAAAAGTGATGTTATTCTTCCCTTCCCTAGCGAAAAGGAGCTACAAAAGGACTAGATGAGATTCTAATCTCCATTAATTGGTTTTCCACTAAGATGCCGTCAGTTTCCTCCACTACTTTAACAAAAAGTTAAAACTTGTAAAAAAATCAGCCATTCCAATGATCAGCTGTATTTTATTGATTTTTCTGGGATGATCAGCTGATTGGAAGCATGCTTTGGATCGATATTCGCACATATGGGCGTTCACTGAATATCGACCGACTGATTACTGCTCAAGAAAGAGATTTTAACAAAACGAAAAAAGAAAACGTTTTTTTCTCATAAAATTAATTGAATTTTTGGAGGTGAGAGAGGCACAAAAATGCGTACAATTTATTATAAAATCTTTTGTCAAGCAAAAGTAGTCGATAGAAATGTAATTCATGCCAAATTGAAATAGATAATTGGGTTTAGTGAGTGTAACTAGAGGAGAATGCTTAATTTACAGTTACAGGGTGAGCGATTTAATTAAATAAGAGACCTATATTAAATAAGTGGTTTTAAAAGAGTTTAAAAATCTTTAATTTGATTTAGTGTGAGCATTATGGCTTCCTCATGGAATGCATCCAGGATGTCGCAATGTCACAAATAACCGAGAAACTGTGCGTTTTAAATGGAAGAGAAGGGCAGGAATGGGTTCAATATTCCCAAATTTGAATACGGAATGTTAATAGCGTAAAAAGAAAACGAAAGGTGTTCGTGCAAAAGTTTCAAAGCCTAGAGGTTCAGACGAATGCTAGTTGAAATAAAATAATACCATTTGGTAAATTGGTTATATATTTAAGGGTTTGAGGGGAAAAAAACATTGGTTATAAAATAAGGGCAATTATAAACATCCAATCAAACCCACAGCACCAATTAATCCGCACATACTCCAAACATATAAAAAATACCCTAAATTTATACATCCACGGGCACCTCAAATTTCCCTTCTTCA